TATATAACATCCTCTTACTAATTGTTTTTAATTATGAAATTATACAAAAACATTTCGTCATCCTTTATTCGCACACAAGTAATTTTCTTCCTCTTCTTCTTCTACCTTTTTCCTCTTCCATCGTATTTCACCTTTTCTTTTCCAGTCACTCCTTTTAGACGCAGCACGAGCGTCATGTCGTTGTGAATGACCACGTCAAGTACCTTGCTGGATGGAGGAATAATTTCACAACGAGGGAGTCGTCCGGCTGGCATATTAATTTATGGCTATTGCATGACGGACGTTCCAACTTCCAAGACCGATGAACATTGGCTTACCAAACATAGTCACTCAAGTTACTGAATATTTTATTATTTTTTCGACGCAGAACTACTGTTTGCAGTTCTATATTTGTCTGTATATTATACACGTTCAGTTTATGTTTTATATACGTTATAAATTCATTTTCCAGTATCTCCTTTCAATCCGGAAAATTATCTCTTTCATATTGGAAAAATATATCTTATTATAGCAACATTAATTTTATCATAGCTACAAAAGAATCATAGCTACAAAACGTTTTTTTGTTTTTAATAAATTATCAAAATAATTTATAGATGAACGTTAAAACGGTGATTTTAACGTTCCAATCTATTGAGTTGAGTAAAAAGTAACTTTATATTTTTAGATTTGAATGTCACCTAAAAATACAAAGACACATATAATGCGTTTTATCATCAAAGCAAGAAAGACTGAATGATTAACATACTTTATTCTTGTAACGAGTAATTAAGTGGGAAGGGTAATTCATCGCACGATTCATCAGCACGATGTGCTCATAATAACAGAGCAAATTGACGCTTATTTATCGTTATGATGTTTTTACATTGTAGGTTTCTCACATCGTAAAATTTCTCTATGCCTTGTTGGCAGAGAGTCATCACTTTCACGCTCTGAAATTCTTTTTCATTAAAATTTTTGCTACGTGCAACCAGATTTACGAGCGGCCAGATGGCTGAGAGGTCAGACTTACACAGTCCTTCCTTTGAATCCCTGGTGGCACTTGCGGTTAGATGATTCTTTCATTAGTTCCACGAGACATGGCAATCGTAACTCATGATGAATCGTCCTCTAAGTCGGCGTAACTCTATCTTTTATTTTCTTCATCTAGATCTCGAGACCGACTCGAGCGAATATCACGTATTTGCGACGTCGTTGAAATTCATTTATATATTTCTTCTAGATCAACTAATAAATCAACGTAATAAATATAGTAATTCTGTATGTAATTTGATATATATTCTTATGTTTATATATTAATGATTTTTCACTTAATGCATTACTGTTTTTTTTTTTATTACTGTATTTATTTCTACATTAGCATAAAGATACGTAACGACGTATATGATTTTTTTCAGATTACTTCTTTCAAGTGGCTTACTACTGATATTCTTCAGTAGTCTCGTCACTGCGACTACTTCCGAGGAAAGTTTCGAGACGGTTCATACAAGCAACGCGGCTGTTCTAAACCGACTTGGACTGACACCTCTTCAAATACCCGATGGGCATCATAAGAAGCGATTAGCCGGGCCTGAACCACCGGGACTCAGCTCGCAAACGCGCATACATCAGCCTTACAGTCGTCGTCATGGACACCGTGACAGCCACGTTTACATTGTGAAACTTCCGGCTAGTCCTCCGTACTACACCATTACGAAGCCTCACAAATCCGTCAACGACGACAAAGTCACTAAGACCGGCCCGAGTTTTCCGGTGGGATTTCAAGGAAATGGTAAACCTGCCAAGATTTATCATTGGAATTTACCGGTCGTAAAGAAAATGATGGAGAAGAAGCGCCTCCAACTGAGCCAACTAAGAATTGACGCTAGAAAAAAGTTGGAGGATATGAAGAAACAGCAGCAAACATCTACAAAAACCATACTGAATAAGCTTTATCCGCTCGATACAAGTAGCAAGAGTTACGAGTATCGTGCCACCGACAACCAACTTCGTTTGCACCAAAAGCAACCAGTGACGAAACACATCAGAAATAATGACAAGAGACTCAGCTATTCGAATAGCGACAACGACAATATTAAATTCAAGTCGACGAAAAAGAATAACCTTGGCAACAAGGCGTATAGATTAAACGATATGAGTGTGCACAGGATCCACCTGAGCAACGAATTTCACGGCTCAAGGAACACTGTGCCGAAGATGAAAAAACACCGGAAAAAAGCTGCCACTTCATATTATGCGCCAATCGCCACTAAGACGGGTTCCACTAGCATCCACAAAAACTTTCCCGGAAATGGCAAACCTAAAGCTTTCTACATTATGGAAAAGAGTCGCAAGCCAGTATACTATCATCCCCTTCTACCTTAATCTTCGATTGTTCGTGTAACTGTGCATAATCGTGTAATATCTTAACTGGCTTGCCTGCCTGTTAGCTTAAGTAGATGCATACTGTTCTGTTTGTACAGGATCAGGAATCGCCATTCAAATTGACAACGATAAAATGCAAAAAAAAAAAAAAGGAAGGAAGAGGGAGAAAGAAAAAGAGAGAAACAGAGACTTTCATGCCTATATTGCATATAGTCATTCTTATTCAAGATAAATGCATTCCGCAAACTGTTCCACTTCTGTTAAATATACATCGTTATTATATCTTTACTTATAAAGGTGCATTAAGATAAGTAAATATTAGAAGTGCGTAAACATACGTTTTATTATCGCATCTTGTTGATAAATTCATTTCTTCGTATATTTTTAATTTTTTACGTTATCGTATATATTCAGATAATCCATTATATTATTACGACGAAACAACAGACAAATATTATTTATATTTTTACATTGCCTTATTAACTGACAAATGGATGAGGAATTTGAGCATATCATATTTTCACAAAACATATTTTACATCTATTATCATAATAATCGGTATCAATTGTATCTATATAGACATCAAAAATTTCCGCAAAATGATACTAAATAAACCTCTATGCATCTATTTCTTTTTATATAAGAATGTATTATTTTAAAAGGTAGCTTTACTAGAACAATTTAAAAAAAAATTTTTTTCTAATTGTTATAAGATTGAAACGTCACTAGACGGGACTTTTTATAGAACATTTTATTGATAACTTTACTGCTTTGTATTTTAAAACGCTTCTTTTAATCATGAGAGTTTCGCGAGAATTCGTCGTATCACACATCGCAATTACTTTAAAAAAACATTACATAATAAAAACATTATGTAATAGAGGAAAATGGTTGACTTATTTCCATTAGCATCTTAGACATAAATTGAATTAAAAAAAACATCATGTTGCAATTAGAAAAGAAATTAATGTTAAATAATGTGCAGAACTCCTTTGACGGAAGCTTAAAGAGCGTTAGTTTTGATTGATAGAAATAAAAAATTCAATTGAAGTTTAATGCAATGTTTAATGTCGTAATAGGCAATAAAATGTGGATCTACTGCTATATTCTTGACTGTCAAAGATAGAATGCTCGGTTGTCTTTCTGCAAAAGCAGAAACTAAAAGCAGTGATCTCGCGAGGCCTACGAAAATCTGATAATTGAGATATTTATTTAAATGTGATTTCAGTACTATGACGATTGATTTTATTATAAGTACGAGTATACGAAACTTACGAACAATTACAAATACTTAAAAAAAAAAACTGAGAATAGAACAATTTGTTGTTTTATTTATTGTGTTTGCGGAAACTTTCGGTGTGTTGCGAACTTAAAATATGATAGTATTATTGAGATTATGACTGAATGTTCCATGTCTATCCTGCATTGGATGACTATTTACACTATTTACACATAATATAAGTATTGATTAAGCTATTACTATGTGACACTCAAATTATATTATATATATATATATATATATATATATATATATATATATATATATATATATATATATATATATATATATATATATATATATATATATATATATATATATATATATATATATATATATATATATATATATATATATATATATATATATATATATATATATATATATATACGTAGGTTCTCTTTATCTCTTTATTTGGTTTTTTTTATTTATATATACAAGATTTAAAGAAAAGCAAAAAATACTATGTATTTTTACTTAGATTAATATAAGGATTTTATGTGACATTGATTTATTAGGGTAACAGCAAGATTAATATCTTTTTACAGAGCTTCATTTTAAACTGAGTCAGTGCTTTTGTTTTTTTACTCTGATAAAATGTAAGATTGTTTTTCAAAGTATACGATCACCGAATGATTTCTTCCCGCTGGAAAAGATCATGATCTTATAATCAAATTCTCCATTATTGAATTAACATTGTATAATATATTTTTATAAATATAAATATGCGAACGTATTATCATATTTCTACACGCGCGCCCGTCGTTTGCGTATAATCACGTAAACATAATTGATCCGTGATTGAGTATGTCCAATACTTAATCAACGTAAAATGTTTCCATATAATTATAGATAGATTTTTCGTTAAGACTGGACAATACGCATGTTTTTATACAACGTGTAAATTTTTCCTCCTACGTGAATTGACGTGGAAATGTTTTGTGTTGAATATATTTTTTTCTATATTCTAGATATCGTGAGTAAGTGCGCTCAATTGTAATGAGGCGTATATATTCAGTGTAACGAATAAAGATATTTATAACTCTTTGTATACTTTGTCTTGACAATTACATACTTAAAAACCCAACTACCTTTCGTGTTTAATCAATATTCTGGCAATGCTAATCTTAAAATGCTTATTTATCGTTATTATTATTTGGAAAAACTCTATTTCTTTTTATACACATAATAATAAAAAGTTACTCTAAATTAAATTTGAATATTTATTTAGATAATTTCTAATTAGATTTAAATCTTTAAAAAGATTTATATATATATATATATTGTATATATATTGTATATATATGTGTGTATGTATATAAATCTAATCAGAAATAACTCTATGTTTTGTACATAATTCTTATTGCAGTTTGTCACATTTGATATTTCAAAATTGCATTATGCAGATATGAATAAATGTTTAATTAGTAAAACAACGCATAGAAACTAATGAATCTATAGAACTCTGTTTATGACCTTGCTTTACCACTCTGTACCTGGATGAGAACCCTTGCAACCCGTTATAGCGCATTTACTTTAATATCTGCAAGGAACAACCACTTCGGTGACGAGTCGCTTGCCTCTGGGACCACATTTTTTGGTAATTGAGCGTATACATTCAAAATACTAAAGAGAACATCTTGTTCAACGAAGATAATTGTTTTTACACATTACATCCTTTCACCAAATAAAGTAAGCAAAATGTTACTGAGCAATTACATTTCGTGAAAAAAAAATATCTGTGATATAAGCGAGAAGGATAAATGCTATAATCTTATAATTCGCATAATTTTTTTATTTATTTATTATTTTAACATGACTCGACACTTGCATTTCTGTTACATTATTAAATATTTTTGTAAAGTCATTAATTAATTAAGACATTAATTATAATGCTTTTGTATTTGCCGAATATAATAGACACTATTATTACATTATACTGTTAGAATGATTTATCACTGTCGAAATAATTGTAATAAATAATATAATATATGTATACAAATATATTACCAGAAAATTAAAATAATAATTTACTGTTATATAATTAAAATATATGTTTATATATAGTAAATATATAGTATTCATAAAAAACTCATTTTGTATATTATATATATGTACGATACACACGTTACACATATATTACAGTATATGCGTGTATACACATATATATATATATATACATATAAGTACATAATGTTTTTAGATGGAATGGCAAAATCACATTGCACAAATAATCTTGATATTGAATCCCCTTACGCATCTAATCCGAATGAATTGCGCATGTTTGTAATCAGACAGGATATAGTCCAGACAATCTGACCAAACTCATTTTCCAAGTCAATATTTGTATATAAGGGACTAAGTGTAGGAAATGTGCTTTTCACTTCGTCGTTAACGGGTAAGGTTAAAAATAATATGTGTATCCTTATTCTTAACATCATTTGTACATATATTTCACATATTTACAAATTCATAATATTGCACGGACCAATAAATACTATAAATATTCAATAATATACACAAATTAAAACAATAGCTTTGAATAATATATAATTTTTAACACACTTTATAAAATTATTTAATTCCCGCGCGAGTCTGTGCAAAAATATAGAAAAATAGAAAAAAAATACAATTATATTATTTTTAAAACAATTTCAATGATTATCTATATAGTAGCAGAATATTTATCACTCGCGTTATGGTTTGCCTAATTCTATCAATGTGGATTAACTCTATTATCTCTTTAATCTACGTTTTACCTTTTTCTAATTCTTCTAAAACTAGAGAAAGATAAAAGTAAGTAATAAGTTAAATCGAGATTAAAGTTAATCTATATTGAATATAGAAATAGACACGTAATGTCTCTAATATTAGAGACGTTACAAGTTCCTTCCGTATTATGATTGCTTGCTCCGATTTTCAATATTCGGCATGATCATATCAAATTAAATTTAATCATGCACATCTTGATAATTGGAATGTCGAATGGATTGATGCATTGTGGTGGAGTCATTCGACTCAAGCAAGTACATACTGGTTAGTTTGCCATTAAAGGTGTAAGGTCCCATATCAAGACTGTTAAGCGAATTATCCGGCCTCTTTACCGGCCTGAGATTCGCTTGCCATTGATAAATAGAGGTCGGCTTACCGTTGTTCACGAAGTCGGCTGACAGGTTGTCCAAGTTCGTGATTGGACTGTCGGTTGGCTTCTTGCCAGGCTTCTTATGCCATTGGTAAACGGAGGTGGGCTTGCCGTTGCTTATGAAGTCTATAGGCAATTTGATGAAGGAATTAACGGTCTGCTGAGAGGCTGGTTGAGGTCGCACGGGTCTCACGTGATGTAGCTGGACTAGTTGAGGAACAAAGGGTATCTGGGGCTTCAAGGGAGCGCTCGAGTACGTGGGTGGTTGCGAGATATATCCGATACCGGGTACAAACATATATGGAATAGGTGGGAGTCGAATATAAAAAATATCACTCTCTTGGTATCTCTTATCAGACTCGCTTGATGATCTATCCTTGGCTGTCGACTCTGAATTGTCGTTGTAATCGATTTCATACGCAGGCACCTTTGGATAACGTATGATACGCGGTAACAGAGGATAATCTACAAATAAAGCTTTACGTTTCCGTCCTTGCGTCCTTTTTTCATTTGCCTCATTTTCACGTGTCTTCGATTCGGAAGCTTCGAGATGATGGATTGTGTGTTTCAGAATTGATAGAGTTGTCTCATTCGTATTTTCTACCATTTCATTAATTTTATCTGGACTGTCATCTATTATATCCCAACGATTCTCCATGGAAAGCGAAAGCGCTTTTTGGACTTGAGGGACTAAGCGGTTGTTCAATGTGTTTGAAAAAGGACTTGCTGCCACAAATCCGATTACAGGTATCAATAGAACCAGTACCATCGTGTGGGGTCTGAAAAGGGATAAATGTGTTCTTGTAATATTGTAATCCTATTGGCAAACAATGAATTTATTTATTTATGTAAAGAAATTATTAATAATTGAACATTCAACACACCGACATTACAATA